TTATTATTATTATTATTATTATTATTATTATTATTATTATTATTATTATATGTATAGGAATGTTTGCCACACATGTATATCTGTGTACCAAGTACATGCTAGGGCTGTGGAAGCCAGAAGAAGATCCCCTTGAACTGAAGTTACAAGTCACTGGGTGCTGGGAACTGAAGTTAGGTCCTTTGAAAGAGCAACAAGTGCCCTTAGCCACTGAGTCATCTCTCCAGCTTCCCACCTTTAGGGATCAAAGTCAAGTTCCTATTCTTGCATGGCAAGCAGCTTACTGAAAAGGCTCTTAAATATCTTCCCAGCTCTGTATGTATTTTTGACACAACCTCTCATGTAGCTCAGGCAGCCTTCAAACTCCTACGTTGCCAAAGATAATCCGGAACTTCTGATCCTCCTGCCCCCATTTCTAGAGTATTAGGATAAGTTCTGTGCCAACACCTCGTTTCTCTGATGCTAGAGATCAAACCCATGGCTTCATGCACGATAGGCTCTACCAACCAAGATGCACACCCAGCCAACAATTCATGTGTGTGGTGTGCACACAGGTATGTGTACATATCTACTTATGTGTGCATCTGGCCATGCACAAAAAGACTAGAGGGGGCCATGGGCCGTGTCCTGTTCTTTTCTCTTTGCCTCATTCCCTTGAAACATGATCTCTCACTGAACCTGCTAGCAACAAGCCCCAGGATTATTCGTCTATATTCTCCACAGTACTGGGATTACAGGCATACACAAGGGATACCTAATTCTTTGTTTGTTTGGTTGGTTTTGTTTTTTTCGAGGCAGGGTTTCTCTGTTGAGCCTTGGCTGTCCTGGACTCACTTTGTAGACCAGGCTGGCCACCTGTCTAGCTCTTTTTTAAAAAAGAGCTGGCTACTGGGGGTTTGAACTCAGGTCTTCAGGACTGTGCAGCAAGAGCTCTTACCCACAGGGCCATCTCCCCAGGCCAGAAAATCTTTTCTTCTGACATCTCTTACAAAGTTCCAGAAAAGTGGAATTTCACATCACTCATGCAGAAATGTTCCCAACTGTGCTAAAGGGCATGACCACTGCTCACAGGGTATGGGAAAAAACCTCAATCCCAAAGGGAATGTTCCACATTTTGTTCTTACTAAGTAGAAAATTGTCCTCAATGAAATACATTTGGGTAAATACCTTAACTTTTTATAATCATAGAGAAACTATTAGCAGTTACGGAATTATGGGACTTGAGTTCAAATCCCCATCACCCATGCAAAAAGCTAACCTCTCCCCAAACCCCACCAGCATAAAGCTTTATTCCAAACCTAGCACTCAGGAGGCAGAGGAGTTTGAGGCCAACCTGGTCTACATAGTAAGTTCCAGGACAGCCAGAGCTACTTTAGCTAGAAAAGCTCTATCTTTAAAAAATTAAAGTAATTTAAAAAAAAAAAAAAAAAAAGTCAGGCATTGGTGGTATACACCTTTAATCCCAGGAGGATCACTGTGAGTTCCAGGCCAGCTTGGTCTGGTCTACAGAGCGAGTTCCAGGATAGTCAAAGCTATACACAGAGAAATCCTGTCTACAAAAACAAAAACAAAAACAAAAACAAAAACAAAAATGAGGGAGGACTGGAAGATGGCTCACTGGCTCGAAGCACTGAATGTTCTAGCGAGGGCCTAGGTTTGATCCCAGCACTGTGATGGTTCGTAGGCATCTCATGCCCTCTTCAGGCCTCTGAGGACACTACATGCCTACGGTACACAGACATACCATACTATATAACACACCCACATGCTATTTGTGAGTATGTGTGTGTGTGATATTTCTCTGACTATCATTTTTGTAGGCATGACCAGGAACAATTAAAGTTCAGCCTCACCTGTCTGCTTGGTTCTTGTCTTCTCCTCAATGGACACCACGGCTCCGGTTATAAGATTGCTGCTGGAAGCCTGAAGAAGCTCTGAGCACACAACTTTATTACCACCTTCCACTGCCCAAAGGTTGGAATCAGCAGCCGAAATCGACACCGCCCCTGTCAGGAAGGAGCAAAGCCATGCTTTAATTCTGCCTTGCTTAGGTCCAGCCACTTAGATATTCTGCTTCAAATGCCTCCAGACACTGCCAGATGACCCTGAGGGACAAAGGTCTTGTTCAGGCGAGAACCACCGGAACTAACAGAAGCATGAAACCCTCTACCACCAGCAACTCACAGACAGAAATAAACTATGTCAGTAAAAATGCCTGAGCCACTAAGAAACCAGCCTCCTCCATCCAGAGCCTGCTGCCACCCTCGTGGCTAAATCCCTTAGCTACAGCCATCCCCGATTTCCTCCGATCCTGCCTTACCCACAAAGGCGTTGAGGTTAGTGCTCTGGCCAAAATTGACCCTCATGACGGGAGCAATCATCTCGCTGAGGAACGTCTCAGAGAAGCCTGCTTTCTTCAGGTTTTCATGGAGAGTCTGGTTAAGCAGTCTGACGTAGTCCTCCCCTCCGATGGCATACATTAACTTTTCTACACTGCTGAAGGCATAGTCATGGGACTGATAACGATAGATCCTTGGGAAAGAGAAACGCTCATTAAATGTCACATAGGACAGGGCAGAGGAGAGGGGCTACAAACAGCCTCAGGAGAATGAAACTGATGGCAGGCTTTGCAAATTGCAGGGCAGCCTGAGGTATGCAGTGAAACTCTACCTTAAAAAAAAAAAAAAAAGATGGAGCTAGAAATACGACTTAGCAGTTAAGAGCACTTGCTGCTTTTGCAGAGGACTTGAGTTCTTTTTTTTTTTTTAATAATTTATTTTATTTTATGTGCATTAGTGTGAAGGTGTCAGATCCCTTGGAATTGGTGATATAGATAGTTGTGAGCTGCCATGTGGGTGCTGGGAATTGAACCCAGGTCCTTTGGAAGAGCAGACAGTGCTCTTAACCACTGAGCCATCTCTCCAGCCCAGGACTTGAGTTCTTGTTTAGTTTTCATACAGGGTCTCTCTGGATAGCTCCATGTGTCCTAGAGCTAGATCAGTAGCCCTAGCTGGCCTCCAACTCAGAGATCCACCTGCCTCTGCCTCCTAGTGCAGGAATTAAAGGTGTGTGTCACCACTGCCTGATTTACGACTGGGTTCTGTTCTCAGCACCCATATGGCAGCTTACAATCATCTGTCACCTTTTTCCGAGAGACCTGATGCCCTCTTCTGACCTCTTTGACACTAGGCACACACATGAGCATGGGCATAAATACAGAATAAACACACACACATCTATTTTAAATCATGAACTGGCTTCCAGGTTTCCTTTCCCTGAGTTCCTACCCATCAGGTGAGGCACAGCTCAATCTCATCTTTCACAGCCCTTTGCGGTCTCCTCTGCCTTTCACCCCAAGACATCTGTGGCTTTCAATATGGCCAGTGGGACATCTTCAAAGAGATGTGCATGTCTTGGGGGTGCATCTCAGCAGACAGAGCGCTCGCCTAACTCCCACAAAGTCCTGGGTCTCATCCCTACCACAACCAACCATCAGCCTCCATGTTAACCACGACAGAGCGTCTTTCTCCCACCAGTGGGCAAGCTCATGGAGCTTTCTGAAGTCTCTCATCAATCCATTCCCACTGCCATGACCGAAGACAGGGCTTATACCCAGACTAGTAAAATTAATTCCTGATCTACCCACTTCAGTTTTATTTCTTTAAAATATTCGTGACCCCAAGCCCCCCCAAAAAAAAAAAAAAAAAACCTTTGTTTTTTCTACTTATTTATACCAAAAACAGTATATGCTCACTTAAAGTCTAGAATACCTGATATGACATTAAAAGAAAAGGACACAGGAATGATGGGATGGCTCAGCAGGTGAAAAGCATTTTGCCTCACAAGCCTGAGGACTTGAGTTTAATGCCTAAAGCCCAAGGTGGAAAGAGAACAGACTCACAAAAGCTGTCTTTGTCATAACATAAAATTTAAAAAGGAAAAAAGACTTGTTGTCCTGGGGAACTCAGCTGTATCATTAGCACAACAACCTCCCACTTTCCAACTGGGACTTAACTGGGAGCGTTGACACCTCATCTCAAGTAGCTCAGCATGACCTTGAGCCAAGGCTCCCTCCACTCCCAAGCATTGTGGTTACAGGCCTGAGCCAAATCTGACCCCCCAGCCTATTTTTACTTCTAGGCTGTCCAGGTTGACCCTGGCCTCACTGCTGCCCACCTACACTTGGCCTTGGCCTCCAAAGTTTCTAGGACCACAGTCTGTGCTACTAGATCCAGGATGAGAAATAACGTTCATTTTCTTTCCTGTCTTTTTTTAAAGGCACGGTCTCAGTACGCAGCCCAGGCTGGCCTGGAATTCAGTATGCACAACAGAGTAGCCCTGAATTCAGAGAGACCTGCTTGCCTCTGACTTCCAAGTGCTGGGATTAACAGAGTATGTCATCACATCCAGCTTGTTGGGTCATTACTGTTTGTTTGTTTGTTTGTTTGTTTGTTTGTTTGTTTGTTTGTTTGTTTTTAGAGGCAGGGTTTCACTATGTAGCCTTGGCTAGCCTGAAACTTACTATGCAGACAAGGCTGGTCTCAAATTCATAGATAAAAACTTTTGTTCTAATGCAGATAAAGAACAAAAGTGGCAAAAATAAATAAGTGAATAAAAATTAGAAACTACAACAAAACTGCACTTGCTGCTCTTGCGGAGGAGCAGGGTTTATTTCCCAACACCTACGTGGCGGTTCACAGCCATCCGCAACTCCAGTTTCACGGGAGCACACTCCCTCTCTTCCGCTTGGAGGTGTTCCACACATGATGTACTTATATACAGGCAGGCAAAACGCTTATATACATAAAATGAACAAATCTTTTAAAATTATGAAGAAAGAAAAAGAAATTCCCAATGCCTGAACGTCAGTTCTAGGTGATTTGATACACTGTTCTGGCCTCTAGGGGCTGTGACACATACTTTCGCAAATATACACACATACACACACCTTAAAAAAAAGTGTGTAAGAGTTTAAAAAAATCTTACAGAAAGGTTTAGTGAAAAAAAAACAGTTTGAGTGGAGACGGCTCAGTGGGTAAAGGCGTTAGCTATGCAAGCCTAGAGATCCAACTCCAATCCCTGAAGGCTGAAGGAGAAAAGCAATTCCACAAAGTTTTCCTCTGTCCTCCATATGCAGGATGTAAAAGAGAGAGAAGTGATTTACTTCTTTATGACTTAGGTGTGCACACACACAAAGGAGAATGTATGCATATCCACAAAAAGGCGTGCACACCAAAACCCAAAACCAAATTCCTTCACACTGACACTTTCTGGAAGATCTTGTGCTTAGCAACTCTACGTCGGTACAATGAGGGCTGACTCCTGACTGAGCCAGCCTGGGTGGGAACTCCAGCCTCACCACTTTCTAAGTGGGTGGCCTTCCACACTTAACACCTGGACGTCTCCACCTTCCACATCTGCAGAAAGCAGCCAACAGCAGCGGTGCCACAACCAGCTGCCGTAAGAATTCATTCGTCTTTTTTCCAAAGCCAACTTCTAAATTGTGCTTTGCCAATGTTTCTTTAATGTTGCCAGACAGTTAGATTCTGTACAAAAGTCAGCTCCTTAAATGGGATGGTCAGGCATGCCACATCTCAACTCTCAACTTTTGCAAAGTACAATTTAGAATCGAGAACAAATGACACGTTTGACTCCCAAATGGAGCGGTGATCTGCCTGTTTCCTGCAAAACATTTTGCCTAACCAGGTGGGGATTGGGTAGAACCGGACCAGAAAACTAACAGTCTAATGCTCGTCAGACCAGAAGGTCTTGACTTCCACAGAAGCGGAGAGTTACCTCATGAACTTGTCCAGCAAGTCTTCCACCCACATGTGCATTCTCAGGGACTGAAATCCGTAGCGCCACACCAGCTTAATCATGTTGATTATGAACCAGCTGCTCTCCTCAAATACCAGAGACTTTCCATCGTACACGCCCACCAAGCCACCGGAAGCCGGAATACTGGAGAGACCTGCCAAAACAGGGTAAAGGGCTCAGAGTCAGCTCAGTGCTTAAGAGCCCTCACTGCTCTTTTAGAAGACCTGGGTTCAGGTGCTGGCACCCATGCCAGGCAGCTCACAACCTGTCACTCCTTTCCTTTTTTTGAGTCAGGGTTTCTCTGTGTAGCCCTGGCTGTCCTGGACTCACTTTGTAGACCAGGCTGGCCTCAAACTCACACAGATCCTGCTGCCTCTGCCTCCCAGAGTGCTGGGAACCCAGGCGTGCGCCACCTCACCCAGCTCACCGATAACTCTTGCTCCAGGGACCCTGATACCTTCTCCTGGTCTGTGTGGGCACCTGCACTCGCATGCACATACCCCACACAGACACACACACACAGATACAGAACTCAAAACAGAAAAGAAATCTTAAAAATAAAGCAAGACAAACATATACTAGAGGAAAGGTGTGCCAGTGGCTTCTACACTGGCCCAATAAAAAGGGAATTTGGGGACCTGTCAGAGACTTTCCGGACTGAATGACCTATGGGCCATCCCCAGGGTCAGGAGTCACAGTGCAGTTCTATTTTTAGAACATTGTGGACACATACCAATTGCTCAATCCACAAACTGACACACTAGAAGACTGGTTAGAGGTCAGGTACATGTAGCAAATTAAACTCACTAGTTTTAGTGGAGAAGGAAGCACCTGCTTCCTGATTAAAAGGGAAGCTGAGGAGTAAGATGTATCCCATTCCTACTCAAATATTACCTTGCAAAACTGGGAAATTCAGGTAAACGGAAAAAGGCCAAAGTTACACACTCTTCCCTAAGAAAAGGCTTGCAGAGGCCTGCCAGACTGCCTCAGAACATGCCCCAACCCTGCTGACAATGCATGTCATGTGTCTCTGTGAGCACATCCTGCACTCTATTTGAATGACTTCAAGCTCAGTGTCTGAAGCCCAAGGGTCTCATTTTCTCATCTGCAGAATGGGCTAAGGTTTCTGCTACCTTAAAACACTCTGAGCCTTCAGCCCAAACCCCAAGGTTTAAGAAACTGACAAGAGGCCATCGTGGTATTGCATGCCTGTAATCCCAGGACTCAGGGAGACAGCAGCAGGCAGATGTTCAAGGACAGCCTGGTCTACAAAGTGAGTCCAGGACAGCCAAGGCTACACAGAGAAACCCAGTGTCAAAAAGCAAAACAAAAAGAGAGAGAGAGAAAGCTGACAACAGGGGGTCAGCAAGATGGCTTAGCCCCTAGTGGCATTTCCTGCCAGCCTGAAGACCTGAGTTCAGTTCCTGGGACCCACATGGTAGAACTGACTAGATCAGTTGCCCTCAGCCCTCCATACACACACTGTGGCATTCAGATCAACACCCAACAGCCCCACCCCCACAGCCACACAAAATGAAAAGCTAAAATATAACTTTTTTAAATTAAAGGACTGACAACGACAGCCACCCTCACTCCACCCAATGGCTGTAATTCCAGAGACCTGATGACATGCAGATAATTAGAGTCTCATTACACAGAGTGGCTCAAGGCTAAGCTGGTACCAACTGCTAACCCCCATAGCAAAGTTTCACCAACTTCTCTACAGAAGGCAAACAAAGCAGAAATATCTTCTCTGTATTATGGAAACACCTAGGGCCAGTCACCCAGAAATCTGCTTAGCCCTGAGTCCAAACCACATACCCAGCTCTTTGACAAAACGCTTCATGTGCAAATTTAGAGGGTGGATGACAGAGCCCCCTGCCTCGTAGTCATGACCCTGCACCTTCATGGTGGCCAAGCGGCCCCCGACCTCTTCTCTTTCAAACACGTCAATCTTCACATCCTTCCCAAATTTCTTCCGAAGATAATAGGCCGAGGAAGTGCCACCAATTCCGGCGCCAACGATTGCTGTAAGGGGGAAAAGAGGAACCGTCTGTTTCTCCTGGTGGCAGTGTGGCTTTTGTTTTTGAAAGGCCATTAACTAATAATACACTACCCAAGACTATAACCAACAACTTGGGGAAACCTGAGGGCAGGCTTCTCTCTGAAGACACATCCCCTGTACCTAAATAGGGGCTGTAAATGAAGTTATGAACTGACAGTAAGTCAAAAGATGCCCAAAGATCCTCACAGGTCTTTGAGGAGGCACCACGGGATCCATGGACCCTCCTGTGCCCAATCCCGGGGGAAGAACGAAAGGGCCACTCCTGCACGCATTTTAAATAAAGTGGCCGCCATCTTCGCCCAGCTTTGTTCTTTGTCTCCCTGAAGCCCCAACTCCGGGAACGATCCCGAAAGACACAATTTTAGGTGGGAGCAGAACGCCAGATCTACAAAAACCCGAGGCAAGCAAAGCCAGAAGAGACCCGGTCCTCCGGCTAGCTGAGCAGTTGTGGTCTCGCAAGCAGAGCGCAGGTGCGGGGAGGCGGTCCTAGCCTTCCTCGGGGGAGGGGACTGGCAGAAGAGGGGGGCTAGACCAGACAGGTCCCTGTGCGGTATCTGCACGCCTCAATCCGCAGGACAGACAGACTCGGTTCCAGGGACAGCCAGAGGCGGGCTCCCGAGGGCCTCCAAGGCTGGGGCTGCAGGGATTCGGGATCCCGGATTAGCACACGCCTCCAGTGTCACGGCTCCACGCTCGGAGCCCACGGCTCGATCCTCGGGAACTCGATCACCACCTTGCCGCGGGGGGACGGACGTAGGCATCGCCGCGCCTCCGCATCCCCTGCACCTACCGATCTTGTCCGGCGGAGCGCGGGACTCGGCGCTCGCCAAGCTGCCCAGACCACACAGCAGCAGCCCCAGCCCGAGCAGCGGGCCCACCAGCGCCGCGGACTCGCGCCCCATGGCCTCCCGCAGCTGCAGACTGACGGCGGGTCAGCCAGCAGACGCGGAGCTCTATGCGTCTGCGCGCGCTCGCCCCACCCAGACCCCGCCCCAGGGCCCACTACCACGCCCACCCGCCCCACCCAGGTCCTTTGCTCCCCAGGCTCACCCTACCTTGCAGTCCCAACCCTGGGACCCTGTGTCCCCGAAGTCCGCTCTGTCTCTGGCAGCCCACATCCAGGTTCAGGTTAAGGCCCACCTCAGCTCTCCCCCTTCCTTCCTGCCTCTCTGAAGATGCACCCTTCTTCACTAATGCCCTCTGCAGTCCCCCAAATCACGTGCTTGCGGAGAATGCACCCTGCCAATCTCAGTCAAAAGCCAAGCAAACCGGCCGCTAATATTTCTGAAGTGAGCATTTTGTTAGCTGCGTGATAAGAAAAAAGAAGGGAGATGTGGTATTGTGACGTAACGGGAGCAGAGCACCGGACTCGCCCATACAGATAAAATTCAGACACCAAAAGGGGCTTCGCATATAAGGTCTGTTTCCAAGTTGGAGACAATTGAGGAGGCACGAATACTAGAAATGCTGTCCACCTTCCTCCTAAAAACAAAACACAAGGAGGGGGGAGCTGGAGACGCGGCTCACAGTTAAGTGCATTTCTCCCTCTTCCGCCGGACCAGAGTTTGATTTCTAGCACCATGCACATCCTGGAAGCTCATACCAACCTGTAACTCCAGCTCCAGGCAATCTGATACCTTTTTCTGTCCTCTGCCGGTGCCCACAAACGCACACCCTTAAGCACAGCAAAAATTATTATAGGATCTGAGAGGTGACTCCGTAGCTAAGAGCAGGTACTGAGCTCAGTTTCTGAAAGGCTTACAACTGCCTGTAACAGCAGCTCCAGGGAACCTGTCAACCTCTTCTGACCTTCCCAGAACACACACAAAGATAAATAAAAATAAACACATACAGAAAGACCAAGGGGGCCTGGTGTGGTGGTGCAAGCCTGTGGTCCCAGCACTCAGGGAGGCAGAGACAGGCGGGTCGTTGTGAGTTCGAGGCCAGCCTGGTCTACAAAGTGAGTCTGTGACAGCCAAGGCTACAAACAAAGAAACTCTGTCTCAAAAAACCAAAAAAAAAGAAAAGAACAACAACAACAACAAAAAGACCAAGGCATCTCTGCTCTCTTCTTTGTCTACCTGGAGGGATGTGGGTTTATCACCAAAGGCAACTTTAGACATTTTAAGTAAACTTCCTAGGCAGCCATTAGTTTGGCCTGAGCTCCCGAAATGGATGAACAGCATGCCAAATCAGAGAGGAATCACAGCAGAAGTTGCATGGTACCAAGCTTTCTGATTGACCTTGCTAGAAAAGTGAGCCAGTGCTCCAGGCACCAATGCCTCTCCTTGGCAGATGAGATAAAGGTGTCCCCTCTGCTTCAACCCTCCCAAGGACAGTAACTTGGAAACCTGTCTGCTCTTGGTTTTCAGCTTTTGCTTTCCTCTGCCCTTGTCAGTCAAGAGAGCCAGGCTTCTCCACCAGATGTGGGAAGAGCTGTACTTTTTTATAAAACAAGGTACTTCTCAATTCTAACAGCATACAGATGCCAACTGAGACTTGTCAATTTCTTGTACTTTTGTTTTTTTCACAGATCTTGTTTTTAAAACAGAATCTCAAGTAACCCAAGCTGGTCTCAGACTTGCTGTGAAGCTGACCTTAAGCTCTTCATCCTCCTGCCTTGTACTTTCTGTGTGCTGGGACCTGACAAGCTTTCACCAGCTGGAAATTCACAAAACAAACTTGACTCTGGAGCCTTTCTGTGCCATTTATTTGCCTTCTCACAGTTCCCAGCCCTAGAAACTCAAACTCTTCTTCCTCCTCTTATGCCTTATCATTTCTCTAAAATTGGACTATTCTTTGGAGACATCTTGTATTCCAAGACAGCTTCTAGAGAGTTATTTGTTTACCTGGAACACCTTCCAAATTTCTCTTTGTTTTTCTCTTATTTATTGAGACAAGGTCTCACTATATATCCTTGGCTGGGCTTGAACTCAAAGAGATCTGCCTGCCTCTACCTCATGAGTGTTGAGATTGAAGGGATATGCCACCACTTGGGCTATTTTGCTCTTGTTAATGTGGTTTTGTTACATGGGTCTGTCCTAAACAAGAATTAATAAAAATGAAGGAAAAAGTTTTTTTTTCTTTCTCCTAAATTGATGTTATGCTATGAAACACACTCGTACAGTGAAAAGGGCAGGCACTGAGAAGATGGTTCACTCTGTAAAGTGCTAGGCTTGCAAGCATGAAAATGTGCATTCAGATCCCCAGAACCCATGTAAAAATCTGGATTTGGAAGCATGCGACTGTAATCCTAATGCTGGGAGACAGGATGACCCCTAGGGCTTGCTGGCCAGGCTATCTAACCTAATTGGCAAGCTCCCAGGTTAGTTAGAGGCCCTGTCTCAAAAACTCAGGTGAAAGCTGGTCAGTCTTGGCAGTGGTGGTACACCTTTAGTCCCAGTACTCAGGAGACGGAGGCAAGCAGATCTGAGTCTGAACTAACCTGGTCTGCTGGAACACAGTCTAGAAATGGAGTCTTTCGAGGGAAATTCTGAGTGCAGGTGAGAACACTCCCAGAAAACAAGACCTTGTGACCTCGGTTTCTTCAAAGCATGGAATTATTCTTGGAACCTGTTTTCATGCTCCTCCCAGATGAGGCAGATATAAAAGAGTTTACTTCAATTACTAAGTATTGCTTGTTGTTGCTATTCAATTAAACTAGCCTTTATATGCCTCTGTAGAAAAAAAAAAAATTTTTTTTTTTGGCCACATGTGGCTTGTCCTTGTGATTATATACAGCTTGAACTCATGAGAACTTTACTCATGTGACTTTTTTATTAACCCTTATATAAATTCTTTGGTGCTTTGAATAAAATTGGCTATAGGATGAGACTTTAGTCCGCCTCATTTTTTAGCTCCATTCTCCCAGGTTCCATGCCTCTAGATCTGTGACACTGGTCTACAGAGCAAGCTGTTTCAGAACATTTAGAACTATGTAGAGAAACCCTGTCTCAAAAAGGCAAAAATAAATAAATAAATAGAGAGAAAGAAAGAAAGAAAGAAAGAAAGAAAGAAAGAAAAATTAATTTGAGGAAAATACTCAGTGTTGACCTCTGTGAGAAAAGCTATGGGCTCTAACATTATCCCATTTCTGTTGCCTCCCAAAACAAACCCAAATGAAACAGCATGTAGACATAAAGAACAGCAATAATGGAAGGAAACTGAGTTGGATACAAAGAAAGGTTGAGCTTGAGGCTGGCAACATAGCTTAGCCAGGAAAGATGCTTTGTGGCCCAAACCTAGTGACCAGAGTTCTATACCCTGAATCCACACAAAGGTTGGAGAGAAACAACCACAAAGTTGTCCTCTGACTTCCACATGTGTGCTTCAGCCTGCATCAGGACAGGCCTCACTGAGTCTATAGAACTCAGGCAAAAGCTGATACAAAGTGAGGAGCCAAGGCTGTGTAGGTAATAGCGTAAAAGCAAAGAGAATGCTTGGCGCGTTTGAGAGGTGGGTGGATCAGTTCCAGAGAGGGGTGGAGGTGCTTAGGGACCGAAATGCAAGAGCTGCAGGTAGGATCACAGAACTTGGAGAGTACTCCTTCCATATGTCTATACACTGAAAAGGAAACAGAGCTAAGAGCTGTGGCTTTTACTTTGTTTCCCAAAGTGCATTATGCTACGGGAGTTCAGTGCATTAAATTCAACAAGCCGTTGATTAGGCTTGGTCCTATTACTGACCTTGAGCCTAGTGTCTGTCATATTTGGAAACTGACTTCTACTACTGAAGCCATGTGAAATAATCCACAGGAAGTTCAGTGGGAAGCAGCTGAGGTGCTCTGCAAAGTAGGAGCAGAGGCCTCCCATTCTACACCCTCATCCTTCTGGAAGAACAATCTGGATGATACTCAGACTGAAAAACACACCAAGAAAGGGCCAGATGAGCCAGTGGTCCTCTGTAATCACAGCATTTGGAAAGTGGAAGCAGGAAGGCCAAGAGGTCAAGCCAGCTTGTTTTACGTAAAACCCTGTTTTTTGTTTGTTTGTTTTTTTTTTTTTTAAGTAACAACAGAACAAAACACCGTAACAATAAAATAACAACAGAGAAAATGTTACCACAGACATAAAGCATAATTTTTGTCTGTTTAGGGAACAGGGTCTCTCTATGTAACCGAGGCAGGACTGAAACTTAATCCTCCTGTCTCAGCCTAGAGTACAGGGTTCCTAAAATGTAACAGCACTCCCAGCTTATGAAGTGGAAGAGTAGGGTTACAAACCACACATTCCCTCAAAGGAATGTTGTCTGAAAAAGCAGTCTCAGAAAACTCAGGACCACCAAGAATTCTCTGGAGAGATGGTTCAGTGGTTAAGAGCACTTGCTGCGTTTCCAGAGGACAGGGTTTGATTTCCCGAACCCACAGGGTAACTGTCTGTAACTCCAGTTCCAGGGGATCTCTTCTGGCCTTCTCAGAGACCAGGTACTCATAAAATAAAACAGTAAAATAATTAAAATAAAAAAAAAAAAAGAACATACCGAGCCGGGTGTGGTGATGCACAGCTTTGAGCCCAGCACTCAGGAGGCAGAGGCAGGTGAATCTCTGAGCTCGAGGCCAGCCTGGTCTACAGAGTTCTAGGATAGCCAGGGCTATAAAGGGAAACTCTGTTGGGGGAGGGGGCGAAGGAAGAACTTACTGTTGATTTCAACCAATGTCTGCAGTTCAGGATCCCCTCCCAGCCTCTGTAGACAGGGTTACTTCAGGGCAGTTAACCCCCACGAAGAGGCCATTAGCAAACACTCACAGGTTGCACAAGGACTGACTTCCTGCTTTCTATGATTTTTTTTAATACCCTTGCCCTACTGATCCCCTGCTCAGCTCCTTCCCTGTTACCTCATTCTTGCCCTTAAATATTTGGTCACCCCTATACAAATTGAATTTGAGTTGCTGGAATTTTCCCTATTGCAATATCTTATTGATTAAAATCTGTCTCTATTAGTTTGTGTACTG